AAAATCAATCCTCACACCATTACCAACTGTTCAGTAAAAACAAAAAGACTCAAATTCACAACTAGGTCTTGTCTAAAGAGGAATAAAGATTTAGAGACAATGGCAGAAAAGCTTAAAACTATGAACTGTTTTTTGCAATCATCCACTGAATAGGTACAAACATCTGAATAGAGTTTGCCATTCTGGAAGGTCTACCTAGGATGTAAATTTCTGTATTCCTAATGCTGAGGTAATGCAATCTCTTCTAACACAATCTTCTTCTATTGTACTTCTCCGGAAAATCAATATTTCTGTAAACACAGATCAATCTCTCTTAGGAATAATTACTGCCAAACAGAGTATTCTATGTAGTCAGTTTCCTTAAGAAATATTAACAATAAGATCAAATCAAATTTGCCTGCCCCAAACTATTATACTAAGTATCTTAAAATAGGAGGGGGAAAAGTAGGAAAGGCTATTACAGAAAGCTTTTGTTAACAACAGATAAGAATATTTGGATCCAAAGAACACACTGTTGTTACAACATATATTCTTGGCCTTTCCCTCCCTCTTCTAACCTCCATACACATTCACTTGGGTTTAAAATTGGCACTATTTCCCTTTAAGCCCTACTAGATATTAATGGTTACTCAACAAAATAAATCAGGTTTCAACACTGAGTGTTTCATCTTTCTTTCCTCATTAGTAAGTATATAATAGAACACATATTTTTCATATTTTCTGTATCTTCCTAAACTTATTTTTCACCCAAAGCAAAACAATTATTTATGGCCCTAAATTCCCCTCTTTGTTAAGAATTATTGGCAATTAATTTGTGCTCCTTCAAGTCATGCAATTTTTCCAAAGTAAGGATCATTCTTTTTATACTTTAGGCCTTCCTAATTCTAGAATAGGCTATGAATTGTTTGAAAACTGAAATCTTATTCCTAAAACACAAAAGTGTAGAAACAGAATTTTAGGGACTTAAAGGTTCATGGGAATTGACTTGGCCAAATACATTTCTTTGGCCAAATACATATAACAAAACTTTAGAAACCATTCACTCTTATGCCCCAAAATATTTTACTTTGTATTAATTATTAACAATAATTATAAGCACCTGTATTCCCAAAAGATACAATTCTTTAAAATTTTGTAACATATAGCATATAGCCTGAATGCAAAAATTTATCCATTTATTTAGTGAACACCTTTAATTATCAAAACAGTGTTTCTAGGTTTTTAAGGTGCAATGGTGAATAACTAAGGCAGCCTTTCAACTCAAAACCCAGTGGAGGAACTCTAACCAATAGCCTATTAAATTCTGTAGAGGTGATGCACAAGGTAAAATGGAGTGAAGAATGAGATCAGAAGTTGAATCAAGCAGTAAAAAAAAATGTACTCGATAAAAATATAGCCATAATTCCACACGGGAACCAGATGTGCTTTTGTTACGGGGAAAACCTATCAAAACCTATATGCAGGTGGTTTTGTCACCATTAAACTGACAAAAACAGTAAACACGAAGCTCCAGAAGAATAGGCACCAAAACTGCAAGGTAATTTAAATAGCCCTCTAAATGTAAAATAGAACTTCCTTACAAGAGTTAAAAAAAAAAAAAAAAATCACAATAAACCTTAGCTGTGATTTTGCTTGTCTACAATCATTTCCCTCTTTCATACAGCACAAATCTAGAGATTCAGTATGAAAAAAGGACCATCTATATTGTTGAATAAAAAATTAAAGATATTATCAGGTTTACTGAACAAAACTTTTTTTTGAGTTTCAATGCTAACCAGCTAAAATAAATCTGTAATTCATATCTCACAGGATTCTTTTTTTTTTTTTTTGTGGTACGCGGGCCTCTCCCGTTGTGGAGCACAGGCTCCGGACGCGCAGGCCCAGCGGCCATGGCTCACGGGCCCAGCCGCTCCGCGGCACGTGGGAATCCTCCCGGACCGGGGCACGAACCCGCCTCCCCTGCATCGGCAGGCGGACTCTCAACCACTGCGCCACCAGGGAAGCCCCTCACAGGATTCTTTGTCTATCCCACCCTTACCATCTTTCCAAAGCAAATCCATGATTAAGAGTGGTTTTGATGTTTTTCTTATTCTTCAGTTTTGTTTAGTCTTTTTTTTCCTTGTCCATCATCTCATTTTTCCTCTAAATTTTCATTAACTGTTGCCTTACACATCAAGCGAGCTGATTCCTATTTTTGATCATGTCACTCTTTAAGGTATCATTTAATTACCATTTCAGTTAAAGTTGAATAATACAGTATCTGCGATTTGCTTCAAAGCAATAGAGGTGGGGAGAGTAAGTGAACGTATGGAGAAAACATGTTTCACTGTGCGTTGAAGCTCTATGATAGAAACATCATACATTATACTATTCTTTTTTTCTTGCATGTTTGAAAATGTATCTTTAAAAAGTTTAAAAGATTATATGAAGATAACTATCTGTTGATCATCAGATGTCAAAACATGTCTTACTGACTGATGGAAAAAATATATAGCATATAGGAGGCACCATAAAGGCTAGGACAAGTTAAGCATTTAAAAAACAAAAAAAGAAAAGAAAAAGAAAAGGTTACAGCTGATTTTAACATAGTAAATACAGAGAAACCCCACGAATCCACAGCTATCCTCAATCTTTTAAAAGGAGGGGAAAAGAAAAAAGGAATTTCATCTTTGAGGAAAAAATATGAGCCAGTAAGTAGAGACAGAATAGGATTTTTTTTACCATTTGCCACTTTCAAGGAAACAACTGATTTATTTAAAGATATCAATTGATGATAAATAACTAGATAAAAGGTTATTGAGGAACACAGTTATCAACTCCACAGATTCCTAACTGCAAAGGGGAAAATAATCCTTTACAATGAAGAGATCCAGCAGTCATTACCCTAACCCTGACCAAGTGAGCAAACTTAACCATTACTAACACTGGAACAACCTAGCATGAAGTGCCTTTTGATGTGATGTTATAAAGTATTCTACACAAAAATATTTAACCTGAATATTATCAAAGCTCTGAGTTTAGACATAACCATAATTTTCAGGAAATACAGAAGATGAGGGGACAAGTTAAATGACACCACACAAACACAAATCAAATAAGCCCAGACATAAAATGAGAAGTTCTGCAAGAGAACTGTTCTGGATTCTTCAAATAGACAATAAATATCCTAGGGGAGAAAAAACAGAGGAACGATTCAAGAGACATAACCAAATGATGCAAATAACCTAGATTAGATTCTGATGTTTTTAATTAAATTTTATTTTTTTACATAGCAGGTTCTTATTAGTTATCCATTTTATACATATTAGTGTAGATTCTGATTTTTAAAATAATAAAACCCTATGAATCACATTCTTAGGACTTATTTTTAGTAATGATACGGTATTGCTATTAATTTTCTTAGGTGCGAAATGGTATAATGGTTATATAACAGCATTAATGCCTTATACTGTATAAGAGAATGCTGAAATAAGGGGGGCTGAATATGTCACTTACTTTCAAACAAATATATACAAGGAGATAAAGCAAATATGGCAAAACACTCAACAACTGTCGATTCTAGGTGAAGAACTGTACTGCAGTCCTAAACTTTACACATAAAACTTTTGGGTGAAATTTTTTTCTTTAAATTTTTACCACCTTCTCTCCCACTTAAAACACCACAGTTCTGAAATGAAAGGTCATGGCAACATTTCAGTGTGTTTACAATTTTAGATAAATTTAAAAATTAACAGTGAATTCGGGAAGCTTTCAATGAACACCTAAGTACGTTACTCCTCCTCTACTTTCAGGTGACAAAACATGAGCCCAGGAAAAGGGTAGGTATACAAAAACAGACTTGACATAACGATTTTAAGACTAGGCATTCTTGGGCATTCTAACAGCATGTAAAATGTAAATACTGTGAAAATTTCAGGACTGAAATCAGTCGACGAGCAAACACAAAATTCAGTTTAGCCAAACTTTCCCGACATAATAAAATTTACAGTCACCCTATTCAATAGGAACACTCCAATTCTGCCTCATCTCTGTCCCCACGTTAAAAGCTGGGGACTTCAAAAACGAAAACCTAAGTGTATTTCGTTGCTATGGCAATGGGAAATTTCAGGAAATTGAGACTGCAGTCTAGCTAGCCTCCATTTTAAAAACTATTTACCTAAACATACCGGACTTGAATCGAAAAATAAATTGACAGCTTCCATAAAACACCAGTTTCCTCTTTCAAACTCAAAGGTAAACACTATCCTACAAAATTCTGAATAAAGAGCAAAAGAAACAAATCATTTAACTAAAAATCTGAATTTTAAAATACTTAGATATCACATATCCAGTACTAAAAAACAGATGCTTTTACTTACAGTGGCCCAAACATACTTCTCATTTCCGATTTATCAAATTCTACAATTACTTGTTTCGTTGGAAAAATGAAAATGAAATGTTGACAGAAGAAAGGGAAGGAGCAGGAGAAAGCCACAAAATTCCCAAATCTTAGCATAACGATGCTCTTACTCCTAAACTGCTTCCTTCTTCATTCGCTCATGCAAGAGTCTATTTCTCCAGATTAGTTTCATCTTAAATTACTTCTCAAACCTTTTTCTGGGTACAGTATATATCGGAAAGGCGGTGGAGGGAACACTGTCAAGTTTTTCGAAAACAGCGGGTACACGTTAAAATAATCAATTCCTAACCCCTTAACACCAAAATGGTATTAAAGGAAGACTCTCACCGGAGAAGTCCCATGAATCTAAATAGGACGAAGTAGCTTCCTGGCTATTGTCTAAATCAAATATTTGTTCATCTTAACGCCTAAGACAGAGAAGCCAAAAAAGTTTTAAATCTCAGTCAGAACTTGCTCCCCATTCCCAACGTACTTCTGAACCCTGTTTTTCGGATTCATTAGACCCTTGATTCCTCCTCAGAGAACATGGCTGGAGAACTCGGACGAACAGAGACTCAGAGAGAAGAGGTCGCCACGAGGCCCCACCACTCTCCTTCCTCACCTGCTCCGTGGCTCCGTCTCCTGACATGGCCTCAGACGACTAGAACGTGCGAACTGGCCCGCGATGCCAAGCTACAAAAGAAAAATTAAACTAAAAACCACCCCCAAACAACTAAAATTGCCCCCTGCCCTGCGGAGCCAGACCGCCAACAAGAACCGCCACCGCCCACTCAGATATGAATTAAAATGGCTGCGCCCGGGCCGGCCAAGGAGGGGTGTGTGGCTTCTGCATTAACTTCCGGGGCAGAGGGCGGAGTTAAGAGAGCAAAATCATCGATTACTCAACCGCGCAGAAGCAGAAAGATCCCAGGGGCGGGCCCAATGCAAGTGCTGGACGTCACGGCCTTGGAGTAGAGAGGCTGTTGCTGAGCGAGCTGCGACCGGCTGGGAGGCGGGAAACTGCTTTCCACGGAGGCTCGCGCGCCTTTTGGAATTTAATTATCAAGTTGTGGAGCGCGCCTCTTCACTGTTGAAGTCTGCAAATCGGTTCAGTTCAGGCAAGCTGGCCATCTTATTGAGCAACGCTAAGTGTTAAATGCTTCCTATATTTTGGAGATAAGGAATCTGAAGTTTTCTATGGGCTCAGCTAATGCTCTTCACGCTTTTGCGGTATTAAAGGGACAGATCAAGCCTATGTTAATTTATACCGTCACCGTTTACTCATGTGTCTAAGGTTTGAAGCGAGTAAGGCCCAGGTTTTAAGCTCAGCATCCCACCATGGTTCTTGATAATAGCGCTTCGGCTCTGGAGCCAGCCTGCATTCATTTGAAACCTGGCTTCATCTCTCGCTAGATGCGTAACCGTGGGCAATTAAACATCTCTGTGCCTCAGTTTCCTTGCCTATAATTAAGAGTAATAATAATACCTGCTTTTTTTTTTTAATTTTTGCGGTACGCGGGCCTCTCACTGTTGTGGCCTCTCCCGTTGCGGAGCACAGGCTCCGGACTCACAGGCTCAGCGGCCATGGCTCACGGGCCTAGCCGCTCCACGGCATGTGGGATCTTCCCGGGCCAGGGCACGAACCCGTGTCCCCTGCATCGGCAGGCGGACTCTCAACCACTGCGCCACCAGGGAAGCCCAATACCTGCTTTTTTCTTACCGCTTCACGAGGCTTGCAGGATCTGAGTTCCCCCATCAGGGATGAAACCTGCGCTCTCAGCAGTGTAAGTGTGGAGTCCTAACCACGGGACCGCCAGGGAATTCCCAGTACCTGCAATTTAAATAAGTTATACCTGTAAAAGTGCTTGGAACTGTACTTGGCATAGTCCAGGATTAAGTGAGAGCAGGTCTTCTCAAACTCTTTTACGTTCAAGGATCATCATAAGACTTATAACACCCTATCGTCTACAGTGGCCTATGGTCCAAAGTAAACTATTCAGCCTTTCCCATATACTCCTTATTCTTTTCAGTCTCCCAGGCCTCTGCTCATATTTCCACCTCTGCTCTTTCCACAGCCCAAATTCTTTTTTTTTGTTTGTTTAACATCTTTATTGGAGTATAATTGCTTTACAATGGTGTGTTAGTTTCTGCTGTATAACAAAGTGAATCAGCTATACGTAAAAATACATCCCCCTTATCTCCTCCCTCTTGTGTGTCCTTCCCACCCTCCCCCTCTAGGTGGTCACAAAGCACTGAGCTTATCCCACCCCTCTAGGTGGTCACAAAGCACTGAGCTTATCTCCCTGTGCTGTGTGGCTCATTCCCACTAGCTATCTATTTTACATTTCACAGCCTGAATTCTTACACTTCCAAGAAATCAAACACATGAGCAAAGGGTGTATATTACAGATGTTTATTGCACCATCCAACAATAGAGGACTAGTTAAACACTGTAATCCCTCCCTCTCTCTTATCCTCTGTAGCTCCCTTATCCTATGTTCCAAGACCCCCAGTGGATGCCTGAAACAGGGGATAGTACCAAACCCTATATATACTATTTTTTCCTGTACATAACTATGTTATCATAGTTTAATTTATAAATTATGAACAGTAGATTAACAACAATAATAAAATAGAACAGTTATAACAGCAAACTGGTAAAAGTTACGTGAATTGTGCTCATTTGTGCACGTGCGCTTCATCTCTCGCAGAATATCTAATTGTACAAAGTTAATGCCTTTTCCACCTTAACTAAGCAGTTACCACGTACTGTGGCCATAACCTTTGTAATTTGAGGTGCAACAGCAAAAGTAGCATGAATTTATTTTTCCTTCACAATTTCACAGGTACAGGATTTGTTCTTACCATGGACCTTAGCAACCTCAGCACATGATTTTTTTCCTTTCCTTAATAAAGCAAGAACTTTAACATTTTTACTTAAAGAAAGCACTTTACAATTTCTCTTTGGCATATCCAAATTGCCAGCCTCACTACTGTGGCATTTTGGGGCCATTACTAAGTAAAATAAGGGTTAACTTAACACAAGCACTGAGATACCTCTACAGTCAAGCTGATAACCAAGACGGCTAAGTGGCACCAGATTTCATCACACCACTCAGAACGATACACAACTTAAAATTTAGGAATTGTGGCTTCCCTGGTGGCGCAGTGGTTGGGAGTCCGCCTGCCGATGCAGCAGACACAGGTTTGTGCCCCGGTCCAGGAAGATCCCACATGCCGCAAAGCGGCTGGGGCCCGTAGCCATGGC